AAAAATGAAAATAGATACCCCTGTTTAAAACTCAAGACTCGTAAAAAGTTATTCCCTGTTTAACGATTTATACCTTTGTCCATACCCGTTTAGGCCAAATAAGGGAGTACTTCCTCCTTCCCCTTGGATAAAGAAATCGAATTTCCCTCCAGAACACCCTAAGCGAGATGAGAAGAATTCCCGTCACTTTCTTATGTTAACGTCGGTAGACCTCCCACGGAGCAAACTCAAGCGACACATTGAAGGGAGACAGGGGGTGCTTACCATTTTGGCACAAACTACCCGGCTGGAAATCTTGTGCGGAAACAAATTGGTGGTAGAACGACCCGCTGCAAAGTATATCCAAATCTGCTAAAAAGACTAAAATCACAGCCCATATTTTCTGAACCTTCCTAGAGGGAATGGCACAAAGTACGTTTCCTACCGAAGTTTCCGGTTTTCCCATGTGAAAGGTAGGTACCCAGGGATACCTGAACGCCGGCGCGCTTCCTTCCTTTACGAGCATTACATTATGGCTACAAAACAGGGAAAATATTTGTAATATACTACTTCGTATCAAACATGGGGAGCAAGTTTTATTTTTAATAAATAATATAATAACATGTGAAAATCAAATTTTACATCAATTTAAGAAATACAAATATACCCTTTATTTCGAAAATACGAAGAGGTCGAGTAATTAAATAAGAATTGTAGCTTGACACTTCTGCACAAAAAGACAATAAAATTTTAAATTTTCGTTCTTAAACAAATGCATTGACTTTTTACGCCCTGTTAACATTAAGATATTTAACATCTTTAAAACCTTAAGACGTTTCAAAAAAATTTCAGAGAGAAGTTTCTGCGTAAGTCAAGTTGTAATACATGATCATCATTTTTTTTGGGGGGGGGGGGGCGGGCACGGGGTGGAATGGGGGTTGGGGGTATTTTCTAAGTGTTTAAAAACTCAAAATCAGGTGTAACATTCTCGCTACCAAGACTACTTTTACTATAATACAATGACACATTTTGGAATAACTTGTGAAACCTGTGAAGAAACTTTTGTGTAAAACCAATTTTCTCAATATATGAAGAATGAAGTACTAAAAATCCAAATTAATTCAAAACATATTTGCAACTAATAACTATACACTTCAGAAACTCTTCCTTTAAATACAGTCGCTGACAAAACTGTCAAAACACTGGAAAAAGAGCATCCTATCCTCTTCCTAATCCCTCATAATCACCCAACCAAGGAAGGCATTTTGTTATGTAGAAGATAAGTGAGAAGGTAGTTTCTCTAACAAGTTTGCAACTATTTTTGTTACTGATTTTGACAATCAACACTGATTATCTTAATACTGCCTATTTGTTGTCCAAGAGAACACGTGAATTTGTTCAGTTGTTCAAAAAGTGAAAAACTAAAAAACCGAAATATCACTGACGATAAAATATATCTATTTGGGATTTATTTTCATAAATCCCAGATGGCTTGTGATAATAATATCACATGAGCCGAATTCAGTCCACCCAATTAAGATACTTTTTTTTACCAATAAACTAAAACATTCTTAAATTTGACTTGTGTACCCTTTATAACAAGCTTATAATAAATAACAAAATAATGGACTATACTTCATACACACATATTACATTAGTATTTCCTCTACAAAGGAAAAGATTGGACAACATTAAATTTTTTGTATGTTCTTAACATCTAAAAATGATATAAAATAATAATTACTCTTTTAAAAACCTTTTCAGTGTTTTTATATATTATATTCTTCCTGACAATACATACTTAGACAAAATGTAAAATCATGACCTGTACCAAAGCAGTATGAGAAATAATTTAAATAATTTTGCTTCGGTACATTATGCTCTTACACTTTGGCATTACTATCCCAAGAGACATTTTGGGTGAAGTGTAGAAAGGAAATTAAATGAATCAGTTATTAGACTAACAAATAATAGTAATAATAATAATAATAATAATAATAATAATAATAATAATAATAATAATACTTAAAAATTAAAAATTTATAACGCACCTTTAACTGCTTGATGCATGGACTGATCTCTATATTCATTGTGAAAGGTACACATTATGCTACTGAGGGTATATGAATCATTTACACCACTTGGAAAAGAATACTTGTGGTTTAGGGTGATGGCCTGGCCACCTTCTGTTAGTGACCTGTTATTTTTGCACTTTGGGTAGTTCCTGACAGGAATTTCAGCTCTGTCTAAGTTCCACTTAGAATAAAACAACCAATTATAGAAGTTTGTTAAAAAAATGTTCTATTGGGGTCTTTTGAACACATGCATTTGTCATTCAGTAAATACTGGGGATATGTGTATTAATTTATCTCTTGCCTGGTGTTTTCCACTATCTACCACCCTAAATAGCTACAGAGGTAGTGAAGGCAAAAACATTTCCAACCAAAATTGAGTGTTCACTACAGCACCTCAGTAAACTTTGTTTGGTTAGTAGTAAGCTAGTATGTTCATTAATCCTGGGCCAAAAAGTGGTTAACAGGCAAATAAAAGACGGCAAAAACTAGATAGCTAAATACATTTAGGCAATCAGTATTGAATACTTCTGAACAAAATCGAATGAGCTACTTCATAAAATAATGCATGCAGTTTTAACAATTTTGGTAACAAAAAACAGTTAAACAGAAGCTTTCAGTAATAAATGCAGTTCCTCAGGTTATTATCTTGTGTACAACTTCATTTGTGCTTGAAGATCATCCATTGTTGTTACACCATACTTGTCCTTATCTGTCTCCAGGAGCTTAAAAATTTCTTCAAGTTGTTTTTTCTGTGTCCTTGTATAAAATGAAAAAGAATAACTATTACATTAATCAAAAGTACCCAGTTTTTCAGGCACATGATATTACCTTCCAATAATAATATTTCCTTCCAATTTGCAATCACTTGGGCTGCCACCAATATTTTTAATGTTTAATATTTTTTATAATGTTATTGTTTAGGAGCAAGTAAGCTCCAAAGAGCATTAATTCTTAGTACAGGTCTCTTTTTGATAATCTTATGAGGTAAATGCATTCATGTGAAACATTAAAACTAATTTTCTGTTAAGGTACATTTGAAAGTCTTTTGAGAAAAGAATTGAAATTTGGCATTTATTTCTGACAAGTTGAAAATTAATATTTGATTTAACAAAATTTTGTCGTAACATTGGAGGTTCTTTAATCTTTAATGAGTATACTCCTAAACCAGTTTTAATTAACTACACTGAGAGTATTAAAAGAAAATTTTAAAAATAAATAAGTACATAAATAAATAAATAAACAAACATATATGTACATTTGTACATGAATAAATGAGCACACAATAAAATGGCCTAATAAAATGAATGTGAATAAAATATAAAAATACAACATAATTTTAGTATCCTATATGCTAGAGATAATGGCTTTAATTTCATCAAAAGAATCAGGAATTTTAGATAAGGATACACTGTTTCAAGTTCTAATAGTTCTAGGATTAAAAAAATATAGGTGTAGTTCAAAATGGTAAGTTGGTAAAATGGTGGACAATTAGGAGATCTTGAAGCTCTTATATTGTGAGATGTTTCAGGTGGTAGGGAAATACCAACAAGCCCTTTATAGATCTTGTAAAACATGAACACTTGGTTGATCAATCTACGGTTCTCCAAGGAGTCCCATCCCAGGGCGTAAATCATTGGAGAGACGTGGCTGAAATGAGAATGATTGTTGTCGAAAAATCTGGCCGCAGGGCCGGGCACTGAACCATCTCTACATGTATCTTATCGATTTTACACTGCATGTGAAGGTTCCATACACTACTGGCAAACTCCAGTTTGGGGCATACAAGAGTAAGATAAGCGGTGTTCTTGACCTTCGTAGTACAACCAGATCTGTCCAAGAAGACCAAGACTTGAATTTGCCTTCTTACAAACTGTATCACAAGGTTCATTCCAGGAAAAATTGTCAGCAATAGATTATCCCCAGGTACGTTGAAGAGGAGACTCTTGAGATAACTTCACCATTCAAAGTACAGTTAAAGTTGACAAGAATTATTTTGTGGTCATCTCTAAATGACAGCACTTGGCTGTACTAATGGAAAGTTGCCAGGTCTCTCTTCAAAAGGTTTAAGATAAGGGGTAACATTTTAATTTATTTTAATTTCTATTACTTCCTATTTACTTTGTAATCAAAAGATCTTACTCTTTTTCTTCAGCCAATTCCTCTGTGGTCATTTGGCTTTCAATCTCTTTGATACCCAGCCGAGACGACTTGTAGTAAGTCTGAATGTTAGATGCATCCTTGACTGTCATCTCTTTGATCCTCTTTTTCTGTTCATTGTCTGTCAGTTGCTGTTTACCTT